TTTTTTTTGGTTTTTCTCCGGTACCGGGAACCGAACTCACGACCTTGCGCTTGCCAGGCAGGCGCTTTGCTGCTGAGCTAAATCCCCAGCCCCTCTGGGCAGAAAATTAAGGTAGCAGGCCTGTGACTGGGATGCAGTGGCACCCACCTGTCATCACAGCACTCTAGGAGGCTGAGGCAGGAGGATCACCAGCTCTGACACAGCCTAGACTACATAGTGAGACCCTGTCACAAAATGAAAACTTAAAAAGGGCTGGGGATAGAGCTCATTGTGAAGGCACTGGGTTCTGTCCTCAGTGTGGAAGCGGGGAGAGAGGAAAGGAGAGAGAGAGAGCAAGATCGGTCTGCTTGTAGGGATTTGCCAGTGGCTGGCAACTGGGAACTTGATTTCAGAGTCATTCCCACCTCCCTGGTAGAAGTGGCCATGGTGCCCATGTCATTTGTGCCAACAGCGTGGTTTATGCTGAGCCCCTGCTCTTCCGGGAGTCTGGAGTCTCGGTGCCAGCCAGAAGGGGCTACATGACTGGGTCCCTAGGAGCTGCCCAGGGTGGCAAGATCTCACAGGTGCTGTCCTCAGTCCTTGGGGAAGTCAAATGACCTGTAGCTTTCCCGGGGAAAGGTTCTGGAAGGTTGCGCGGTCCCCTCACCCTGACTGTGCCCCCAGGATTGGCTCTGGCCAGTGGTACCTGGAGTCATTGGGCTGTGGTTGACCACAGCCGTGAGAACATACAGGGACTGAGACCGGTGAGGATGCCCTGCAAAGCACCGAGCTGGGGGTGCTCCCGTGTCCCCCTTTTCTCTGTCCATGTCCTGCCTCTGCCAGCCCTGACTGCGTCCTTCCTCTCTGCAGAAATACTACCCGCCAGACTTCGACCCCTCGAAGATCCCCAAGCTCAAGCTCCCCAAGGATCGGCAGTACGTGGTACGGCTGATGGCCCCCTTCAACATGAGGTATGTGTTGGTCCCTGAGGTGGACCCATGACCACAGAGGTGGCCTGTACCCTGTGTTCAGAGCCAGTCCCGTCATCCAGTTAGCCAGCACTGCCCCAGGCCTCGCTCCCTCGACCCCAGGACTAAACACCCGGAGCTTTTGGAGTTCCCCAGTAGCGCTGCCTGCTGCCTCGAGGTCAGACTCACTAGCAGACTTGTGGCAGCAGAGATGGGGCCATGCATTCACATCTGCTCCCCCTCAGCCAGCCTGGCTCCTCCTCAGGGCCCTTGCACTCCTGTGGCTTCTGCCTGAACCCCACAACCCTGCCTCCTGACCACCCAGTCGTTCTGGCTCACATCTCCCTCCACAGAGGCCACTGTCATCCGCCTGAGCAGATGACGGGACTTCGGAACATTAGAACTTCTGTGATTTACCAGTTCTGAACCACACAGCTGGTTTCGTTTCACCACCTCCAAAGTCTCATGTGCCTGCCAGTCAGGGCCCTTTGTTTTTTAACTTTTGCTTTTGTGTTTTGTTTTTTTGAGACAGGGTTTTGCTATGCAGTTCAGGCTGGTCTTAAACTCACTGTGTAGCCCACCATGGCCTCTGACTCACCCCTCCTCCTGCTTCAGCCTCCTAAGTGCTGGGACTCACGTGTACGCCATGACGCCCAGCTTCTAAATCGCCTTTGAGTCAATGAAATTCGGAAGGTCTTCGTGTGGACCTGATTGTTTTCTCTACTGACTCTGTCACTGTTCATTTCTTGGGCACTTGCTGTGTGCCACGGTCTAGGGTGCCAGGGGCAGGGTCCCTAGCCTCAGGGAACCTGCCAGCTAGTGGGGTGTGGAGATCATAAATTCATCCTTGGGGTGCCTCACACGCAGTCAAACCTGGAAGCCAGAGGAGAGGGCGTGACTGGGCCATGGGCAGAGAGGGCTTTCTCACCGAGATGAGGGCGAGGGTGAAGGAAGCGCCAGCCAAGCTGAGGTCTGCGGAACAAGGAGTCCCGGGCAGTGGATGCTGCTGTGCAGAGGCCCTGGGCCCAGGCCAAGCTGAGGCATTCGCAGAACAGCTGGGGCTCAGGGTCTAAGTGGAGGGAGGAGGGAGGCCAGGCTGGAAGAGCGCTGGCAGATGGTGCTCCTGAGCCCCAGGCGGGCCACTGGAAGGGCCAGAATGGTGTTTCCCCAGGAGGTGGCATGTGGGCGGGGCAGGCATGAGCAAGCGTGGCAGCACAGGAGGGGAGCAATCTGTGAACTCGGGCAGGCCGCTTGTGAAGGAGGAAGCTCCCCGTCTCTGGGGGCAAGCAAGCAGCTACCTCTCGTATTATGCATGAGAGTGGGAATAAGAGCCCCGAGCCAGCACAAGTGCCTTCCTCCCGCAGGTGTAAGACGTGTGGGGAATACATCTACAAGGGGAAGAAATTCAATGCCCGCAAGGAGACCGTGCAGAACGAGGTGTACCTGGGCCTGCCCATCTTCCGCTTCTACATCAAGTGCACGCGCTGCCTGGCGGAGATCACGTTCAAGGTATCAGCTCCCCCCGGACCCCTGTGGGCTTTGTGCCTGCTCCCCACTCCGCAAGGAGACCCATTCAGCCGATCCTGGGGAGCAGACGGAGCTCTGAGGGAAATGTTCATGGCAGCCTTGCTTATAAAGGCAGAAAGCTGTCAGACTTGGAGGCATGCACTTGTCATCCCAGCTACCATGGAGGCTGACAGGAGGGTCATTTAGCAAGACCCTGTCTCAAAATAAAAAATAAAAAGGGCTGGGGAGTAGCTCAGTGTGAAGGCCCTGAGCTCCACCCCTGGCGCTGCAAAAAGCAAAAGTCAAAAACCCGCAGGCCTGGGCTTTCTACAGAGGGGCTGGGAGTCCCACAAAGATGGCTCCGTCCTTGCCACAGCAGTAAGATGAGGAGGAGGAGGAGATGACGCCAGGAAGGACGGGGAGCTGGGAGATGGCTCTGGGCTGCCAGTGGGTGCTGGACATGGCTTCCACTGCCCAATGTGCAGGAGGTGACGTCTTCCCGCCTCCCAGACAGACCCCGAGAACACAGACTACACCATGGAGCACGGCGCCACGCGGAACTTCCAGGCCGAGAAGCTCCTGGAGGAGGAGGAGAAGCGGGTGCAGAAGGAGCGGGAGGATGAGGAGCTGAACAACCCCATGAAGGTGAGCGAGGCACGGGCAGTGGCGGGCAGTGGCGTGGGGAGCGTGCTCAGTGGAACTTGAGCCACACACCCTGCATGGCACCTGGAGGGTGATGCAGGGATCCTCCCATGTGACCAAGCTGTGTCACATCCTGTCTCGTGGTCTTAGATGAGAGAGTTTCTCTGCTGAGATTTGAAGGAGCAGCATCAGGGAGGCGTGGTGGGTCACAGGGGACCGTGGGTGGCCATAATGACAGCCGGGTCAGCTGCCAGCAAGGAGAAAATGGTTGTGGGGGTGGCAGAGCACCCAGCACTCTGGAAGGCTGAGGCAGGAGGTTTGTAGATTAAAGCCCTGGCTGGGCAACTCAGCAAGGCTCTGTCTCAAAAAAGTAAAAAAAGAGTTGGGGTGCAGCTCCCGTGACACTAACCTAGCATGGTGAGGCCCTGGGTTCCATTGCCAGCCCCACAAAAAAAAGTGAAAGCAGGTGCAGGGTCCTTCCTGTCCTTGGGTTCAAATCCCAGGGCTCCACTGAGCAGCCATGTAGCCCCAGGCAGCCGTGTCCCCTCCCCTGGCCACAGTGTCTGCAGGCCAGGCCTAGCGGGCTCTAGTCCATGCCCACCCCACCCACAGGTGCTGGAGAACCGCACGAAGGACTCGAAGCTGGAGATGGAGGTGCTGGAGAACCTGCAGGAGCTCAAGGACCTGAACCAGCGGCAGGCGCACGTGGACTTCGAGGCCATGCTGCGGCAGCACCGGCTGTCGGAGGAGGAGCTGCGGCGGCGGCAGCAGGAGGAGGACGAGCGTGAGACCGCGTGAGTCCGTGGGGTCCGGCCTGGCTGCCCTGTCCTGTTCCCGGGTCTCTCTGCCCCTGTGTCCCTCTCCCCCAGCTGCTCACGGCCCCTCTGGGGTCACCCATTCTGCACCCGTGACTCACTTTCTTCCTCATGGTGTCTCTGCCTTGGTCCCTGCGGCAACTCCAGGTCCCGGGAGTCCTGGGCGCCCCAGGACTCAGCACATGGCTGCCTGTCCTTGTGGCCGGGTTTTGGGTTTGGGGTAATTTTGCAGTATGGGGAAGTGAACCCGGGATGTTTGCACTGAGCTGCATCGTCAGCCCTTTACCGTTATTTTTTTTATTTTTTTTTTTTTTCCCCCGGTACCAGGGATCGAACTCACGACCTTGCGCTTGCTGGTCAGGTGCTGTGCCGCTGAGCTAAATCCTGAGCCCCTATCGTTACTTATTTTGAGACAGGGTTTTGCTGAGAGGCTGGACTCAAACTTCCAGTCCCCCTGCGTCAGCCTCCAGGAGAGCCGGGATGGCAAGTGTGTGCCGCTGCGCCCGGCTTCTTAACCGTTTTCGGGGAGCCGGGCGTGGACGCAGCACCTCGCGCCCGCCAGGCAGATGCTGAGCACTGAGCCACAGCCCAGTGCTCTGCAGAGCAGCAGGCAGCAGGGCAGAGCGGGCTCGGGGAGGGCAGCGGGGCTGGGTGGGCGGGTGGGGCTTTGGGAACCCATGCCCAGGGCCGTGCAGGCTGTGCTTCGTTCTACCCTTCAGACCCTGCATGGCTTCTCCTGAGTCCCCAGCACCCAGCACAGGGTCAGCACACAGTAGGTGCTCAGTGGGCACCTTGGGGCCACAGTCAGTGTCTGTGACTGTGGTGACAGCAGCCTGCACTTCCGTAGCTCCTTGCGTATGCTGGGCCTGGCTCTGACATCTGCCTCCCTCCCGCAGCCTGGAGGTTGACACGGTTGGCACCAGGGTTGGGGGACTGAGGTCACATTGTCTGAGACACACGCCAACCCAGAGTCACCCAGAAAGGGTGGGAATCCAAATAGGCTGCACTAATACCCCTAACCACTTCGTGGTTCACAGGAATGTTGGAATGTTTATTTTTTTTTTGAGACAGGGTCTTGCTGTATAGTTCAGACTAGCTTTTGAACTCACTACATAGTCCAGGCTGGCCTTGAATTTACAATGATCCTCCTGCCCCAGCCTCTCCAGTGCTGGGATTGCAGGTGTATGCCGCCATGCCCAGCTAGGAATGTTAATTTTATTTTATTTATTTATTTATTTATTTATCTATCTATTTATCTATTTATTTGTCTTTTTGAGACAGGGTCTCACCATGCATTTCAGGCTGGCCTTGAGCTCACTTTGTTGCCCAGGCTGATCTCCAACTTGCAGCGATCCTCCTGCCTCAGTCTCCCAAGTGCTGGGATTATAGGCGTGCGTCACCATGCCTGGCTAGGATGTTAATTTTAAAACATCTAATCAGACCTGTCATCCCAGCCCTCTAGAAGCCTGAAGCAGGAGGATCACAAGTTTAGGCCCAGCCTGGGCAAATTAGCAACTTAGTGAGACCCTTTCTCAAAATTTAAAAGTGGACTGGGGATGGAGCTCAGTGCAAAGGCCGAGGGTTCAATCCCCAGTATTGTAAAATTTAAAATCAAAGCTAGCCCGGCATGGGGCTGGGGATTTAGCTCAGCGGCATAGCGCCTGCCTGGCAAGTGCAAGGTCGTAAGTTTGATTCCTGGTACTGGGGTGGAAAAAAAAAAAAAAAGCTAGCCGGGCATGGTGGTGCACCCCTGTAATCCTAGCACTCAGGAGGCTGAGGCAGGAGGATGGTTGTGAGTTTGAGACCAGCCTGGGCTACAAAGTGAGCTCAAGGCCAGCCTGAACTGCGTATCGAGACCCTGTCTCAAAAAGACAAAAAAAAAAAAAAAATCAAAGCCATCTGCTCCCCACCCCTGCTGTCTGAGGGCAGGACAAGGCCCCATGGCAGGTCCTGGGTGCTGTCCCTGTGTAGTGTGTTCCCAGCCCCATGGTCTGTCACACAGGGCACTCCTGGAGGAGGCTCAGAAGCGAAGGCTCCTGGAGGACTCAGACTCGGAGGATGAGGCTGCACCTGCCCCTCCAGCCCCAAGGCCCCAGCCCACTGCCATCCTGCATGAGGTGAGCCCACCGCGGGGCCCTGTGCCGAGAGGGAAGGGGAAGTGGGGACCATGGCCTTTTCCCCACAGGGCCTAGGGCTCTGTCCTTGGAAGGGCTGTGAAGGGTAGCAGGTCAGGTGTCAGTAAGCCCTTGGGGACTGTCACTTTCCAGCCTGGGGAAGCTGCTGTGGAAGGGGACATGTCACTGGCTAGTGTGGGTCCTTGCTGTATAGATTTTTAAACTAGAGCCAGTGTGTGGTACGTGCCTCTAACCCCAGCACTGGGGAGGCTGAGGCAGGAGGATCACTGTGAGTTTGAGGCCAATCTGGGCTATAAAGTAAGTTCAAGGCCAGCCTGAATTGCATAGTGAAACATTCTCAAAAAGACAAAATAATAATTATAAACCATATTGGTTGTGTTTTTTGTTGTTTTTTGTTGTTTTTTGAGACAGGGTCTGCTGTATAACTCAGGCTGGCCTTGAACTCATGGCGGTCCTCCTGTCTGAACCTCCCAAGTGGCAGGGGTACAGGTGTGCACCATCATGCCTGGTGAGACCCTACTTAAAAAAAAAAAACAAACCTAAAACACAAATTACAGAAAGCCTTGGATTGGAGAGTAAGAGTGAAGACAGAAAGACTGCAGGCGGAGCAGCAGCAGGGCTGCACCCAGGTGCGAGGGCGCACTGGCCTCCATCTTGCAGCGGGAGTCTGGCTGTAAGGCTTGGCCAAGCCGGAGTCAGCTGCTGTTCCGTCCGTCCTGATTTCATCGCTCAGGTTGAGCTCTCGAGACTTGGAGGCCCCTTGGTCCCTGTGAGGGTGGCTTGGGGCTGTCCCAGGCCTGTGAGCTCTGCTGCCATTCAGGGTAAGCACAGGCTTGGGACAGTGGAGAATCTAATTTGTAAATCTTTTTTTTTTTTTTTTCCTTGAAGCACTGGGGATGGAACCCAGGGCCTTCACCACACTCCTTTGCCCTCCACCCACAGCCCTTTTTATTTATTTATTTATTTATTTATTTATTTTTTGTACTAAGAATTGAACTCAAGACCTTGCACTTGCCAGGCAGGTGCTTCTGCCACTGAGCTATATCCCCTGCCCAACTTTTAGTTTTTATTTCGAGACAGGGTCTCACTAAGTCCTTAAGTTGCCCAGGCTGGGTTTGAACTTGTGATCCTCCAGCCTCAGCCTCCCAGAGTGCTAGGATGACAGGTGTGCAGGAAAAGCCACTTTCACATCCTGACTGCTTAAGAAGGAATGTGGATTATGCTTTTTTGTTGTTTGTTTGGGGTTTTGTTTTGTTTTCTGTTTTTTTGAGATGAGGGTCTCACTATGCAGTTCAGGCAGCCCTTGAACTCACTGTGTAGCCCAGGCTGATCTCAAACTCACAGTGATCCTCCTGCCTCAGCCTCCCAAGTGCTGGGATTACAGGTGTGTGCCAGCAGATTATACTTTTGCAAGTAATAGGTTAGAGGGCCCAGGAATTTGTTCTTAGTCCCTACAATGGTCTCTCGCTCATGACTGTCACGTAGAGCACAGGAATTTATCTCTCTGTCACATTGCAATGCTGGGTGACAATGCAGAACCTGGGGCATCTCCTCTCCAGTGTTTTCAGAGATTCCAGCTCCTTCCGTGTCCCGCAGAGGCAGCCTTGCTCCTGGGCTGGGGCACTGGGGAGGGGACAGGTGCAGGGTCGGGCAGCCCCCGGGGTAGGGGGGTTTTCCTCTCACACCCTGTCCGTAGGAACAGGCCCAGCAAGCTGCGTGCAGCTGGGGGGAGGTCGGGAGGGGCTGTGTCTGGCTGGCCCCCAGCCTGGCTGGAAGAAAGAAGGGGAGAGAGATTTTGATGGGTGCCCAGATCTGGGTCCCAAGTGACAGTGCTGCTTTCAATTGGATAGAAAGTTTTCTCTCAGATTACAGTTGTACAGTGATTGGACAAGAAACAGGCGCTGTCGCCTTCTCGTCTTCTGGCAACTCTTGGAGGATGCTGTCCTCCCAGGAGTTTCAGTACACTCTGCATCCCAGTCTGGGAGAGGGGTGAGGGTAGGGAGAAGTTCCAGGGCACTGCTGCTGGGAGAGCATCCTGCTCACATCCCGTTGGTCAGTATGTGACCACTTGACCACCGCCCACCACAAAGGAGGCTGGGAAATGTAGTCTTTATTGGCAACAGCCTCATTTCTGTGAGAATCCATCAACGTCAGGAGATAGACTAGATGTGCAGTTATTATTTTCTTTTTCCTTTTTTTTTTTTTTTTTGTGTGTGTGTGTGTGTGTGTTTTTGAGACGGGATCTCACTAGGCAGTTCAGGCTAGCCTTGAGCTCACTTTGTAGAGCTTACCAGACTGGTCTTGAACTTGCAATGATCCTCCTGCCTCAGCCTCCCAAGTACTGGGATTACAGGCCTGTGCCACCACGCCTGGCTGAGGTCATTATTTTCACCCATGAATCTTTTAATGTAGAACTGAGACTTTCAAAAAAAGTCATTTTCTTTGAGGCTGTATCTCCTGATAGAGCGCCCTTATTGACTATCTTACTTAAACTGACCCCAGAGTTCATTGGCTATACTATCTACACACCACACACACACACACACACACACACACACACACACACACCCCACCACCACCACCACCACCCCCCCCCCCTGTGCTGGGCATCGAACCCAGGGCCTCACACACACTAGGCAGGCACTCACCACTGAACTCTGTCCACAGCCCTTCTCACTTTGTATTTTGAGACAAGGACTTGCTAAGTTGCCCAAGCTTTCTTAGATTCGAGCTCCGCCTGCCTCAGCTTCCTGAATATCTGGGATGACAGGCGCATGCCGCTGCATCTGATGTTTGTATTTGGGGTGTGCTGCTAGAGATGGAACCCAGGGCCTTGTGCATACCGAGCAGGCACTCATCACTGAGCCACATGTCCAGCCCTTCTATTTTTCACTTTTTTTTCTAAATGGAGCAAGAGGCTAGCTACCTTCAGAGGAGTCCGCCCTTTCTGGTTCACTTGTCAGCCTCCTGCCTGGTCCTGATTCCCTGTGTATGCAGCACACTTCTGTCAAGGCTACTCATGCCTGTGCTGCCCTGTGTGTCTCTCTTCACACCTGCAATTCCTTGATTTAGCTTCACGACGACAACTGCGTGCAGCAGAACCAGGTTCTGGAACCAGCACGTAGCACCCTCCGGCCCCCGCCCCAGCTACAGTGGGAACTCGTGACAGTGTGTGCAGAGCCTCCAGAATGGTAGAGCCCGATACAGTGGAGCACATCTGTCGTTCTGGCTTTCAGGAAGCTGAGGCAGGGGGATCTCAGAAACAAAGAAACAGCAGTTCATTTCTGTACATCTGAATAAAAAGGCTGCAGCCAGGGCCGGGGGTGCAGCTCAGTGGAAGCTACTTTCCCAGCCCACATGAGGCTTGGCACCCCAGCCCCAGCCCTCCAAGAAAGCAAAAGCATTGGCCTTGATTGCTCCCCCTCCCCATCCTCTGTTATTTTATTTCAACACAAAGTCTTGCTTTTGCCTTAACTCAGGATCCTCTTTGCCTCCACCTCTGCAATAGCATCGAAGGCCTGTGCCACCCACACAGGGCTCTTAATTCCCTCTAATGGTGCCTTTTCACGACACCTTTCAGAAGTGCCATCTCCTCTGGTCTCGCCACTTGAGCTTCACAGAAGAGGAGATCACGAGTTCAGTATGAGGGATGAGTAGGCATTCACCAGGGGAATGAGAGGAAAGGGACAGCCCGGAGAAGGGGATGGCAGAGGGAAAGGCCTGCAAGTGAGAGGTCACAGTGAGACTTGGAACATACAAGTGCCGAAGATAGGGGGGAGGACGGACAAGGCTCTAAGCACCAAGCCTGGGGCAGTAGGGAGCCATAGAGGAGTTCAGAGCAGGGGAGAGACTTGGCAAGCTCATCAGAGTGCTGTGGGATGGTTCAGCAGGGGAAGGAGCAGAGTTCAGAGAGCTGGCTGGGCCAGGGATCCTCCACCAACCCGTGTCCCTGTTACCCTACAGGCCCCAAAGGCCAAGAGGAAGGCGGAGGGCATGGGCAGCAGGTTGCAGCTGTCTGGCTTGGTGGTGGTGAAGAAGACAAAGACGGAAGCTGAGGGCGCTGGCAGCCGGCGGGGCCAGGCACCTCCAACCTCAGGTGGGTTCCCCTGCCAGGGCTGCGTGCAGTGCCACGTGCGCTGCCAGGTGGCGGCAGTGTTCCCGGCCTCCTAGTGCTTCCTGGGGTGGGCAGGTCAGGGGTGGGTGGGTGCAGAACCCCCAGGCAGTTCTGTGGGGAGGGAAGGGAAGGGCCCTCCTCCTCCTCTTTTCTTCCTTTTTTTTCTGGTTCTGGGATTGGAACTCAGGGCTTCACACTGAGCAGCATCCTCAGCTCTTAGTTTTTTGGGGTTTTTTTTGAGACAGCAGTTCACTCTGTAGTTCAGGCTGTCCTTGTACTCACTGTGTGGCCTGTAGCCTAGGCTGGTCTGAAGCTTGAAGCGATCTTCCTGCCTCAGCCTCCTGAGTGCTGAGATTGCAGGCAGGTGCCACCACACCCAGCCCCTTTGTATTTTGAGACAAGGGCTCACTAAATCATTCAGTTATCAGGCTGGCCTGGAATTCAGTTTTCCTGCCTCAGCTTCCCATAGTGCTGGGATTGCAGGTAGGTGTGAGCCACCAGTTTTCTTTTCTAATTACAGAAGGAACAAGAATTTTAAAACTCTAAACAAATCCATGACACCTCCTCCCCATCCCCTAGTGTCAAGGAAATCTGAATCCCCACATCCCAGGCCATGTCTCAGTGTCTTTCTTGAGACCCTGGGCCTGGTCTGCTGTCAGTGGCCCCCACCCCAGGCGCTGGATGATTGGGGTGGGTCAGCCTGGTGGTTGGAGAGACTGAGAGCTGAGCAGTGTACCCGCCCACCACATGGGGAGCCTGCAGGGCAGTTCCATAGGGGCCCAAGTCAGAGGGTGTGTAGGGGTGCAGTGGTGCACACCCGCAATCCCAGCACTCTGAGAGGCTGAGGCAGGAGGGTCACAAGCTGCCAGTCTGGGCAACTTAGTGACTTTGCCACACCTGTCTCAAAATAAAAATAAAAAAAGGGCAGGGAATGTAGCTCAGTGCAAAGGCCCTGCGTTCCATCCCCAGAACTGGAAAAAAACATTTCTTGAAAAGGGCGTGTGGCCTTTCTCTGTGGTACTGGGGACGGAAATACTGCTTATGCCCACAGTGGGACCTGGCAGGTACCTTCCCGACAGAGGGCCCTGTGTTGTCCACCCCAGGCCTGGCACACGAGCGGAGGTGGCTGTCCCCGTGCCCCAGCCAACCTAGGCCAACTCTCCCTCCCCCACAGGAGCCCGGGAGCGCAGAGGGGCTGCTGACCCCTCTCCACAGCCGCCTGGCGCCTCCTCCCTGAGCCAGCTGGGAGCCTATGGGGACAGCGAGGACAGTGACAGCAACATCTGACCCAGCACCCCGCCCAGCCACAGGGTCGCAGAGCTGCAAGCAGGCGGGCAGGAGGCCATGCACCTCCTGCAGCTGCCAGGCCGCGGCGCCCCTCCTGTTCCTGGCTCCTCCTGCCGCTCGTGTCATGGGCTGTGCCTCCGTCCCTTCCGCCCACAGAGCCGGCGGGAACCAATGAAAGCCGCTGTCCGCCGGCCGGCCGGCCGGGCACCTAGCCCGCGGAGTTCGGGGGCCAGCGAGGCCTCTGTGCACACAACCCTGGATGGAGGCCCGTGTGGCACGCCGTCAGGGAGTGCGGCCAGAGGTCGGGTGGGTGGGCCAGGCCCGAGTTCTCCTCTAACGGTACTGGGGATTGAACCCAGGCCCTCCACCCTGAGCTCCATGCCCAGCCCTTTACAGTTTTTGAAGCCCAGTCTTGCTGAGTTGCCTAGGTTGTGCTTGACCTTGTCATCTTCCTACCTCAGCCTCCTGGAGTCCTGGGGTGACAAGCCTGGGCCCTCACACCCAACTGTGTTCAATTCCTGTCTTTCCTGGGAGACTTCCCTCTTTCCCTCCGTGTCCTCGGGGCAGCCTTGTCCTTGGCCCCAGCCCCGGGCAGGGGCTCCCGGAGGACAGCGGGCAGAGGGACAGGCCCTGGGCTCTTCTGCCCTTCCCTTCCTGTGCTGACAGCGCCCGCGGTGCCAGATGAAGGGGCTGTCAGCCAGCATCCGGAATCTCCTCCGTCAGTTCCCCTGGGGCCGCAGGCCTCCGCGCACATCAGAGGGCTGGGGATGGGGGACACTAGAGCCACACACCACCCGCTCCTGCCACGCGGCTGGGAAGGAAAGCTGTGCCTGCCTCGTGCCCAGCATGGTGCCAGGCTATCTCTGCCACTGCCTTGCCAGCTGTCACTGTGCCCCCCCAAGACCCCTCTGCCTGGGGCTGGTGCCAAGGCAGGGAGGCCTGGCATGGGGCTCTGGCCACAGCCTTTCACCACCCTGCGCTGTCAGATGGGGCCTGGAAGGTTGTACTGGGCGGACGGGGCCCATATGAAGGGAAGCTCACGCCTGCTCCATCAGAGGGGGCGCTCGGAGGCCAGGCCTTGTCTTCTCCTGAGCTGTGAGCCAGGGTTACCTGCATATATTTCTTCCCTCGGCCTGGGGGCCCCTGAAGAGAGGCGCATGTCTCCATGGAATTGGGGGCTTCGTAACCATCAGTTAAGACTCACAGTTGCTGGGTGTGGTGGGGCACACCTGTAATCCCAGCGCTCGGGAGGCTGAGGCAGGAGGATCGTGGCAAGTTCAAGACCAGCCTGGGGTACAAAGTGAGCTGAAGGCCAGCCTGAACTGCATAGCGAGACCCTGTCTCAAAAAAGACAAAAAAGAAGCAAAAAAAAAGACTCACAGTTGTGAATTGAGAAAGGCAGACTAGGCAGCAGGTGGTGGTGCACGGCTGTCATCCCACTCACTTGGGAGGCTGAGTCAGGCTGAGCTAGCTCTGCCTGGGCACCTCAGAGATACCCTGTCTCAAGTGAAAGGGCTGGGGTGTAGCTCAGTGGTGAGCACCTGTCTAGCAGAGATTTATCCACAGCATTGCAAAAAGAAAAAAAGCTGTGTCCAGGAGCTCCTAAGGTAGGAGCACAGACAGCCCATCAGACTAGGAGTGTTCTTTGTTTTTGTGTTTTGAGACCAAGTCTATGCAGTTCTGGCCGACCTTAAGCTCATTTTGTAGCCCAGGCTGGCCTTGAACTCAAAACAATCATCCTGCCTCAGCCTCCTCAGTGCTGGGATTACAAGCCTGCGTCACCATACCCGGCTTTGTTTTGTTTTTTGAGACAGGGTCTCACTGTGTAGCCCAGGCTGGTCTTTTTTTTTTATAACACCTTTTTTTTTTTTTCCCAGTACCGGGAATCAAACTCATGATCTTGTGCTTGCCAGGCAGGCAATGTGCCGCTGAGCTAAATCCCCAGCACCCCCAGGCTGGTCTTGAACTCCCAGTGAACCTCCTGCCTCAGCCTCCTGAGCACTGGGATTACTGTGTGTACCACCATGTCTGGCCTTGATGAGATTTTAAGCCCCACCAGGGATCACTTCATCTCTCCCCACCTGTTTCCACAACTTGCGTCCCCCCTTCAGATTTGGGCCCCCAGGGGTTCTGCTCCTGAGATGGTGCAGGGGACAGAGAGAACAGGCATAGCCCCAAGCTGAGGTACCCCCTCTGGCTCCTTTCTGAGTTCCCAGCCAGGTGTTGAGCACCTGCTGTGGGCCACACACCTGAGTGTCACTCAGACGGGAAAGGAGAGAGGCTGGGACACCTGCCACCGTGTGGACGGACCTTGATGCTGTCCTCAGTGAGAGACACCAGACAGAGGCCACAGTGTGGGCTGCATGGACAGGAAACGTGACTCCAGAGACAGGAAGTGGCCTTGGGGTGCCAGGCTGGGGAGGGGACAGGTGACTGCTTATTGGGTGTGGGGTTTTTTGGAGATGACAGAAATGTTCTGGAATGGATAGTGGTGCTGGTTACACGGCCTTGTGAATATGATTAAAAACCACTGAATCATCTGTATAGTGTGTACGCAGGTATGTGTATGTGGTGCTGGGGTGGAACCCAGGGCCTCAAGTGTGCTAGGAAAGCCCTCACCACTGAGCTCCACCCCCAGCGCTTTATATGAAGGCAGCCCAGGTGTGGTGGTCATGATGCACACCTTCCTTTGAAGCACTCAGAGGCTGAGGCAGGAAGGTTGCTGAGCATTCGAAGCCAGGCTGGGCTACATAGAGAATTCAGGGCAGCCCATCTCAAAGAAAAGAAAAAAAAAGGCCCTGGGTTCAATCTGTAGTACTGGGGAAAAAGTGGGGTTTGAACTCTTAAGGTATAGGAATTATGTTTCAAAAAGCCAAACAAAGCCCCCAAAATAGAGGTGGGTGGCTGGCACTCACCAGGCTGTGGCTGCTATTCTGTTTTTTGGGAGAACATAGCTCAGGTCACCCCAAGGTCACAGGGGCTGGAATTAGGAACCAGACTGCTGGGGAACTGGAAACCGGGGTTTTCAGGAAGCTGAGCCCCACCCACCACAGATGCTGCCAGCAGGGTGATAGGACCCCAGCCTGGCTCCTCTCCTCCCGCCCCTCCCCTCAGATGGGGGGAGCACCTGAGAAGGCAGCTCAAAGGCGCAGGGAAGTCAAACGCCGTTTGATTCTGCCTGGGGCCCCTAATTGCTATTCCTGCCACAGCGTGTAATTAGAAGGCCCCTTTCAAATATTTATACCTCAGCGAGGCGTATTTATCCGACAGAGACAGCGCTCAGATTTGATGGGATCTGTCAACAGCTCATCCTGAGCTGGGAATTGCCTTGTGGCTGACAGGAAACAGGACAATTACCCGCCCGTGCTCCCTGGCTGTCCCTGGGGACACCACCTTGCCACAGATCCGAGAGGGAGAATGGGGAGCCAGCGGGGACTGAGCCTGCGAAGCAGCTGAGTTCAACAGGTCTGAGATGGGGACAAAGGCAGTGCAGAAGGGATAGGTGACAGGAGTGTCAAAGCCCCTGCTGCCACCAGAGCCTTTGTCTTGTTGGTTCTTGGCGTCAGTTTTCCCACCTGGAAAATGGGGCTAGTGAAGGAGGGAAAAGGGAGAATTTCGGTTTCCACAAAGAGACTCCAGCAGTGGCCATACCAAAGCCAGGCCCCATGACAGTGTCTGGGCACAAGTGAGCCACTGGGTGACTAAGGCCCCTCTACTCTGTACCTCAGTTTCTTCATCTGTAAAATGAAGAACCTTTGTAACAATCTATTCCTTCTGAGGACCCTTCTTCTAGCTTCCTGGGTTCTCCTGAAAGAAACCTCACTTGTCTTTTGTTTTAAGACAGTCTTGCTTTGTGGTTCAGGCTGGCCTTTAACTCCCTGTGAGCCCAGGCTGGCTTCAAAACTGGTAGTGACCCTCCTGCCTCAGCCTCCCAAGTGCTGGGATTATAGGCCAGTGCCCCCAAGCTTGGTCTCATATGTCTTATGAGGGAAACCAAGGCAGAGGGAGCTGCAGACTCCGTCCCCAGCCCCCTGTTTTGTACAGGGACAGCTCACAGCCCTGCCTTTGGCCTGGCACTTGCTCCACTCCAAGCTGTACTTCAGGGAGAGCCAGGAGCAGGGAACCTGGGGTCCCCAACCCTCCTGAGCTCCCATCTCATTCAGGGGACTTAGCAAGGTCCCTTTAAGGGAAGAAGAGATGATTTTGCTCTCAAATTGGCCACTGCCCCCCTACCCCCAACCTTTCAATCCCTTGACTCCAGACAGCTGTCGGGTGAAAAACAGCCAGACCCAGAGCCCTTCTCCGCATCCTGCCTCCCATCCGGAAGCCACAAAGGGACAGATGCGAGGCCACCAGGCAGGCACAGATAGCATCTCCCCTACCGCCAGCTGCCCCTCCCTTCCCCCACCCCGCGATGAGCCCCCTGGGAGCAAGGAAAGGCGCCCCCTGCCGGGGGGAGCCAAGTCCCGCTGCGCCTCGCGGCCCTCCGTGGCGGTCGCACCGGCGACCTCTGACAGTTGCACACGATCCGTCCCCGGCCCGGTCCTCGACCCTCAGACACCGGCTCAATTTCCATCCTCCGTCGCGGTCACCTGGACAATGTCACCCCTTCTCGCGGTCGGGCCCACATCCCCATTTCTGTGTCCACTCCCCCTCTCCTCCGAGCCACGCTTCGCGCCCCCGGGAGGTGCCAGCCCCGGTCCGTGCCCACCCCCCGCGCTCCGCCTCCTTCCGCCCGAGCTCGGTCCCGGGGTCCGGGCCCAGCCGTCGCCGCCTCAGCCCGGCGACTCCCTCGCCCTGATCCCCGCTCCCCGCCCTCCCGGAGCAGCTGAAGGTCTCCGTCACCTCCGAGGGGGCCCAGGGGAGGGCAGGGGGCGGGGAAGCCTTGCCGCTGCGGCTGGGACGCGGCCGGGCTGGGGGGGACGGGCCACCCGCCCGCGCGCCCTCCTCAAAGTCCCCCCTCCCCGCGGCGCGCGCCGGCAAAGTCTCCCGAAAGCTGGAGCGCGGATTGCGGGAGATTTTATTTCCCTTTGTGCGGGTGGCTGGGGCCTGATGGCGCCGGCTGCCCGAAGGGACCTGGGGATGAGGGGCCCCCCACCCCTCTAGGGAGCAGAGGAGCGCAACAAAGGGTGCGCCCGGCCCGGGTCCCTGTCCCCGACGCGCAACTTCGCGCGCGCCCCGGGGGAACCTGCGAGCGACCCTGAGGACCAAGGCGTGCCTGGCTGACCGTGGGGGCGCTGGGGACGGCGACCTCGGACCCAGCCGGGGACCCCGGAGCTTCCTGGAGGCGGCGGGAGGTCCAGCCGTGCAGCCCGCGAAAAGTCCGCGCGCTTCCGCGGATGCCCCGCGCCCGGGCGGAACCACGGTGCGCTCGGCGTTCAGGGCCCCTCGAGGCTCTGCCGGAGCCGGGCTCAGGTGGGCTTCCCCCTCTCGCTCGCCCTCTCCAGCTTTGTACCCGCTGCCTGTCTGCCATCCTTACCCTCGCCCAGCCCGCCAAAGGGCGCACCTATTCCTCCTGCTCCTGCCCGTCCTCCTCCGCTTCTTCCCTCCCGTCCCCCCGCCCCCAGGACCGGACCCCGTGCGGGTCGCTCTCTGACAGCGCCCAGGTTGGAGGTGACCCTCGCCCAGATGGCCAGGTGGCTTCGGGACTACCTGAGCTTCGGCGGCCGGAGACCCCCTCCGCAGCCGCCCACCCCCGACTACTCGGAGAGCGACATCCTCCTGGCCTACCGAATGCAAAAAAATTTGGACTTCGAGGACCCCTACGAGGACGCAGACAGCCGCCCTGAGCCGGACCCCGCGGCCCCGCCAGACCCCAAGGGTCCCGGCGACTCCAAGTACGACTCCCCCAAGCACCGGCTCATCAAGGTGGAGGCGGCTGACATGGCCCGGGCCAAGGCTCTGCTGGGAGCCCCCGGGGCCGAGGTGCGAGGCCGGAGGCGGGAAACGGGACGGGGTCAGGCGCGGCGCGGCGGCCCAGATCGCAGGGGGCCTGTTTAATGCGTGGTCCCAGGGGCGGGGCACCGGGCGCTTTCGGCTCCTCCACCTGCTGGGGGAGCTCGGTATCTGCCTCTCAGGGGCGATCACGCGCCGCTCCAGCTCGCTATTTCTGTGCTCTTTCCTGGCTTCCGAAAACACAGCTGAGCCAGGGCAGTGTTCTGAAAACACTGCCTTCCTGGGCTTCCTCCTTTCTCTTCTTTTCTTTCTTTTTAACACCCCGCTCCATGGAAGTGGAACCAGGGCTTTCACACTGAGCTCCATCCCTGGCCCTATTTATTTATTTAAATTTTGAGACAAGGTCTCCCTAAATTGTTCAGTCTGGGATCAAACTTGAGATCATCCTGCCTCAGCCTCCCAGGGTGCTGGGATGAAAGGTGTGCACCACAGCTCCCGACTTCTCCCTGGGCATTAAACATTCTTTCCCTTCTTGCTGTTACTCCTTTTTTTTTCTTTTACTTTTTTTTGTCTTTTTGAGACAGGGTCTTGCTATGCATTTCAGGCTGGCCTTGAGCTCACTTTGTAGCCTAGGCAGGCCCCGAACTCACAATGATTCTCCTGCCTCAGCCTCCTGAGTGCTTGCTGGGATTATAGGTGTGCACCACCAAGCCTGGCAAAACAGGGATATTGTGTTGGCTGAAGGTTAGTTAATGCTACACATAGACATAAAGCATTTAGAATACTGTTGGCAGCTAGTAATTTGTGTTTGTTTTTTGAGACAGGATATCTCTATGTAACCCAGGGCGGGCTACAACTAGAAATCCTCTTGCCTCAGCCTCCCAAGTGCAAGGATCCTGGGCCTTTGCCACTGATGCTTGACTTGATTTTTTTTGTTTTTGAGACAGTCTCTGTATGTAGTTCAGGCTGGACCTGAACTCACTATGTATTCTAGGTTGCCCTCAAACTTGTGATCCCCCTACCTCAACTTCCTCAGTGCTAGGATTATAGCCATGCGCCACCACACCTGTCATTTGTTTTTTGTTTTTTGTTTTGGTACTGGGAATTGAACTCAAGACCTTGCACTTGCCAGGCAGGTGCTTGTACCACTGAACTATATCCCTAGACCTGTTTTGTTTCTTGAGACAAGGTCTTGCTGTGTAGTTCAGGCTGGCCTTGTTCTTTTTTTTTTCTTTTTTTTGTCTTCTTGAGACGGGTCTCGCTATGCAGTTCAGGCTGACCTTGAGCTCACTTTGTAGCCCAGGCTGGTCTTGCAACAATCCTCCTGCCTCAGCCTCCCGAGTGCTGGGATTACAGGCATGCGCCGCCATGCCTGGCTTGATCTTTGTTCTTTTTTTTTTTTTTTTGGCCTCAGGCTGGCATCAAATTCACAGCCATCCTCCTGCCTCAGGCCCCTGAGACTTGACTCAAATATTAAGATTATTGGAAGGCCTGGAGCTGTAGCTCAGTCATAGAGTGAGTGCTTGTCTAGCTTTTGTGGGGACCCAGAGTCCATTTGCAGCCCTAAGAGGGAGAAAAGGCCTAGAATGGACAGGCAAGTGGTGGATTGGCCAGCAAGCAGATCCAGGATCCAGGCCTTATCCCGAGTCCCTGCCCGCTCCACACCCTTCTCTCTCCAGCCGGAAGTGGACATTGAGTATTCGGACCCGTTTGATGCCCAGCCTCTCCCACCACCCTCAGACGATGGCTACGTGGAGCCCTATAATGTCCAGCGGGTCGTCAGTGGTGAGTGACAGGGCTGGGGACAGGCGACGAGGTTCCCCATATGGTGGGAGCTGATTGGCGTCCTTGGCTCCCCAGAGCTGCCGTGCAGGCCAGTCCAGCTGTATGACACGCCCTATGAAGAGCAGGACCAGGAGCCGGAGGAGAATGCGGCTCCTTCCAGCCAGAGGCCTCGGCAGAGCCGGCTGCCCTTGGAGGATGAGCGGCCCGCGGATGAGTATGACCAGCCCTGGGAGTGGAAGAAAGACCACATCTCCAGAGCTTTTGCAGGTACCTCTTTGACCCAGGCCTTCTTTGACCTCTGACTATGCCATCCTTCCCTTTCCTCATTGGTTCATGTCCTGTGTTTCAATTTACAAGGTAGACTCCAAACATCTTCCACTTTGGTAGTTTGTTTTTTGTTGTTGTTTTTGTTTGTTTTTCTTCCAGTAACCAGGAATCAAACTCATGACCTTGCACTTGCCAGGCAGGCATTTTGCCACTGAGCCCCAGTAATTTGTTAATTCTCACTAAACTGTGAGTGACTGATAGTCATAAATTCTTCCTCCACAAAGGACCAACATCTTCTTTGGGATCTGTAGGGCTCTTTAGAGTAGAACAAACTTAACTCATTCTGTTGAATAGAGTGCAAGGAGAGGAATATGGCATTGGTGTCATGCTAGACTTGTGACATTTACTTGGACAAGTTACTATTATTTTCCTGAGCCTCCCTTCCCTTCCCTGTAAAATACAGATTATTGTAGGACCTACTGATCAGGGTGTTTGTAAATTGAATGCTAGAAAGTATTCAATTATACAAGAGATGTTGATTGGAAAGGGTAGAGTTTCTTAGCCATGTAAACTCAGGGTCAAATTCTAGCTGAATTAAGAAACTTGGATGAGTTTCTGTACAGTTTTCCTCTTCTGTAAAAGGGGTAACAGGGGCTGGGGATTTACCTCAGCGCACAGCGCCTGTCTGGCAAGCGCAAGGTCGTGAGTTCGATTCCTGGTATCCTAGAAAAAAAAAGAGGGGGGTAACAAATAAGATCAGCTTTAAGAAATAAAATACTTTGCCAGGCGTGGTGGCACACGCCTGTAATCCCAGCACTTGGGAGGCTGAGGCAGGAGGATCGTGGTGAGTTTGAGGCCATCTTGGGCTACAAAGTGAGCTCAGGGCCAGCCTGAACTGCATAGCGAGACCCTGTCTCAAAAAAAAGAAGAAAAAAGAAAAAGAAAGAAAAAGGAAAAAAAAAAAGAAATAAAATACCTCTTAGCAGAGGTTGTGGCACACTCCTACCCCAGTACTTGAGGAGGTTGAGGCAGGAAGATTGAAAGTTCCAGCCCAAACTTAGGACTTAGTGACTTGGTAAGACCCTGTCTCACAATTTAAAAATAAGAAAAAGGGCTTGGGGTGTAGTTCAGTGTGAAGACCCTGGGCTCAATTGCCAGGACCACATAGATAGATAGATAGATAGATAGATAGATAAATAATAGGTAAATGACAGATGGACAGATAATAGATCATTAAATGATACATAGATAATAGATAGATGATAGATGGATAATAGATAGATAAATGATAAATAGATAGATAGATAAATGATAGATACATACATAGATAGAATAAAGTAGAATTACTCAGGCTCAGAACAACTGGGACACAGAAACTGTGACTGACGGGACATTTGGGTATCGGAGCTTTGGTCTGTATACTGGGGGGCGTTTCTAGTTTTATGACTTGGCCCCAGTTAGGGCTGAACCCCTGAATTCAGGACTAGGGGCCCCTAGTTGGAAATTTCCCGCCTCCCTGGTAGCCACGCCCACGCTCTCTGATTTGTCGCTCCCAGCACTGCTCCACACATTCTCTGTCCTTCGTGACCACACCTCTTTCTTCTGAAAGCCAATTGGTTGCTTCTGCACCAATCCCGCCCGCCCTGTATGAGGTAGGTTGGTCTTAACTCTTTCCCCGCCCACCCTCCGCTTCCAGTGCAGTTCGACAGTCCGGAGTGGGACAGGACCTCCGGCTCGGCCAAGGAGCTGCGGAGACCCCCGCCCAGAAGCCCGCAGCCCGCTGAGCGCGTGGATCCCGCCCTGCCCCTGGAGAAACAGCCGTAAGCGGGGAAGCTGAAGGTGGAAACTCCCAAAGGCCCACTCACTCCAACAACTTATAGACTTCGTCTTAGCCGACAGATGTTTTTCATTTTTCTGCCACAGACTGTGGAAGCTGGGGGAACTTTCATTCATTCCTACACGGTATTCATAAAAAAGCACCTGCTCTTTACCAGACTCAGAGGAGGGACCAGAGTCCGACGAGGTCGCTCTCACGCTGCTATCAGGTTCTGGGTTCAGATCGCGGCTTTGCATCTCTTGTTGTGTGAGCTGAGGCAAATCACTCACCCTCTCTGAGTGAGACTGCAAACTATTCGGAGTGCCTGGCTCAGCAAAGAAGAATTTCCTCTCTTACTTTGAGTGGGCTTTTTCTTTCTTTCTTTCTTTCTTTTTTTTTTTTTTTTTTTTTTTTTTTTTTTTTTTT